CTCATGTATCCAGCTACCACTTACAATTCTAAAAGGCTTTCACTTAGTAGATTCAAAATAGAGCTTTTGGTTCTCCCACCTGCTTAGAATTCTGCTGCCACCATCTTTTCTTCAACATGGCTGCAATTGCCTCCTAACTGGTATCCTCATTTTTTGCTCTCTGGCCTAAACACAGGAGCCACAGTGAACTTTTAAAACATAAACCCAATCCCCTCCCTGCCTGCTCTCCGTTGCAGCCTCACTGTTCTTCAATACCTCCAGCTTGATCCTTCTTCCCTACCTTTGCCTCAGCTGTTTGCTTCATGTGGAATGCTTTGCTCTCAAACTTTCATTTAGGACTAGGGATTTATGTGGCTCAATGGTAGAGCACTTGCCTAGCATGTACGAAGCTGTAGATTCCATCCCCAGCCCCAAAAACAAATAAATAAAAATAAAATAAGGAGAAGGAGCCTTGAACTCTTGGTTTTTTGGTTTTGTTTTGTTTTGTTTGTTTGTTTGTTTGTTATTTTGGGGTGTTTTGGATTTTTTTGTTGGTACTGGGGATTGAACCCAGGGGCATTAAGCTACATCACCAACTTTTTTTTTTACTATTTATTTTGAGACAGGGTCTTACTGAGATGCCAAGGCTGGCCTTGTCAAACTTGTGATTCTCCTGCCTCAGCCTCCTGAGTTACTGAGATTACAGTTGTGTGCCCCATGCCCAGAGCTGACTACTGTATCTAAAGGAGTTCCCTGCTACTTTCCACATTATCCTGTCTTATAATCTTACAGCACTACTTACTGATTTCTTCTTCCTTATTTGTTTTTGTTTTTGTTTTGTGTTTGTGCAGTGCTAGGAATGAAACCCAGGACCTCATGCATGAGAGTCAAGCATTGTTATTTCTGAGCCACAAGGCTAGCCCTCTAATGCAGTCTTCTATTGATAGGTTTTTGGTTTGTTTCTAGTTTTAGCTGATGGGGAAAACATTGATATGAACATTTTGTACATGAGCCAGTTTTCACGGAGCTTGTTAAGTAACAGATTTTTTAGAAAACCCAAGTTTCAGAAGAGGATTTTATTCATTTTTTGTAAGATCAAGATAATACCAGCTGGCCACCTCAGATATTATCATTACTGTCATTGCTGGTATGATTCATCTGGAGGGTTGTAGCAAGGCTGGGGCTAGTGGGGATGAAAGCTAAAAGTTCTCTTGCTCTTCACTGGGCACATTGTTGTTCTCAGGCACAACATTCAGGAGTTGTTTTGGGGTTTTGTTGTGGTGGTGTTCTATTTTGAGGGGGAGTTGGTACAGGGAATGGAACCCAGGGGTACTTAACCACTGAGCCACATCTACTGCTCCTTTAATTTTTTATTTTGAAACAGAGTCTCACTAAGTCTCTTGGGGCCTCACTAAAGTACGGAAGCTGGCCTCGAACTTGCAATCCTCTTGCCTCAGCTTCCTCAGTTGCTGGGATGACAGGCATTCACCACCATGCCTCATTTGTTCCTTTAATATTAAAATCCCTTGTGTCACTGTTGGTTTCCCTCTTATCCTGTGTTCCTTTCCTTTTCTCTTGTTCCTCTTTCCCTGGAGGTCTTTTTTTTTCCTTCCTGTTATTTCCCTCTCTAATAGCATGAGCTAATGGGCCCACAGACTCCAGCCAAAAAAAAATATTGAAGTACAAAACAGTATTGCAATTAACACTAAGAAAGATAGAAATTTAGGCCAGAGAGGAAGACTGGGACATCCAGAGACAGCAAGAAGAAGACATGGAGAATGAAAGACATGAGACAGAGAGGAAGGAAGGGCAAGAACTAGGCTGAGGCTCAGTGTCACGGGAGTTTGCAATGTGCTGAAGGATGATCCTTGAGACATGCCAATCTTAGTTTCAATCTCAGTTTCAGAGGTTGTATGAAATTCAGTTTCTTTCTTGGGGAAGCCAACAGTTGGTTTGGGGCTTTCCCTGGGTGGGAGGCTGATGACTGGAGTCTTGTGCCCAAACTCAGGGAAATACAGCCTTTATAGTGGTCTCTGTGGAGTACCAGTGAAATCACTGGGCCTCCAAATGAGGCTGAAATGACATTAACCTTCCACTTAAACTTAGCCTCAAAATCTAGTTTGGGTTTAATTCCAATTTCAACCTCAACCCCTCAATCACAACTCAAACTTAACCCCAAAGATAACCCTAACCTCAAATCCAAACACATCCCAATCAATAAAACTCCAAATAAAATTTGTCTTCTAAAGCAACCCAACCTTGTTTCCAGGGTTACTCTTGAAACTTACTTATCCCCATTCCTAACCTCAAACTTAAATCTGACTCTAAATCTAAGTTCCATCTGAGCCACCTAAAGTTCAACCTAAAGTTGAACTTTGTCCAATTTACTTTATTATTTATCCTTCTTCATTTAACAGGTATTTATTGAGTGCCTACTATGTGCTGGTCCTTGATCTAGGCAAATAGTGGCAAAAAGTGAGACAAGGTACTGGCACTCCTGGAGCTTATGTTCCAGTGAGGCAAAGAAGAAAAAAAAGAAACTGACCAAGGTGTGGTGGTGCATGCCTTTAATCCAGGCCACTTGGAAGACTGAGGCAGAAGGATCACAAGTTCAAAGCCAGTCTTAGCAACTTAGTGAGGCCCTGAGCAAATTAGGGAGATCCTGTCTCAAAATAAAAAATGAAAAACGGGCTAGGGATGTGGCTTACTGGTTGAGTGCTCCTGGGTTCAATCCCCAGTACCAAAAAAAAAAAAAAAAGAAGAAGAAGAAAAAAAAAGAAACTGAAAGGCTGGGCTATGGCTCAGTGGTAGAGACTTGCCTAACATGTGTGAGACCCTGGGTTCTATCCCCAGCACCACATACAAACACACACACACACACACACACACACACAATGTATTAGAGTATATTTATATATTAGAATATTGCATCACAACAACAACAAAAAGAAAACCTCTGATATATGCTACCACATGAATGAATCTCACAAATAAAATGTGGAGTGGAAGAAGCCAAACACAAATGAATAAGTTCTGTATGACTTCATTTATATGCAACTGAAAGCAGAATGAACTAGTCTATGGTGTTAGAGGTCAGAGAGTGATTGTCTTTAGAGAATATGCACTGGGAGAAGCCATAAGGGAACCTCCTGGGAAAATGGAACTGGGTAGTGACTACATGGTCATATACTGATGGAAACATTCATTAGCTGCACACTTCAGAGGGGAGCAGCTCATTGTACACTGTTATACATTAAGAAAAACAGCTGGTGGTATGGCTCAATTGTAGAGCATGGTACTTAGTATGATTGGGCTCAATCCTTAGTACTAAAAAATAAATTAATAAATGGAAAATAATCCTGGATGATTTTAATTTTTTTATTTAATTTTAATTTTTTATAGTGCTTGGGAATCAAACCTAGGGCCTCACACTTGCTAGGCAAGTATGCTACCACTGAGCTACAGTGCCAGCTCCTTAAAACAGTGTATTGATACCACAAGTTCCAGACAAATCCCTTAGCCATTCCCACCTGACCCTAGGTTGTTACCATAAGCCTAGCCAATGTGGAATTCTGAAGCTCCCCCTATACAGAACTTTGGAAGTTGTTGGCCAAATTGAGTTGAATGTGTGTGATTATTTGGAGTTATATAAATCTAATCCGTGTGGCCACAAGATGGATGGCATCTTTCAAGAATGGGTCGAGACTTCATTATATATGAGTGCCTAGCATCATTTCTGGGTAAGGGGACAAAAAATTAAAATTAAATTAAAAACCTCATCTTGGGCTGGGGATGTGGCTCAAGCGGTAAACACACTCGCCTGGAATAAGCGGGGTGCTGGGTTTGATCCTCAGTACCACATAAAAATAAATAAAGATGTTATGTCCACCGAAAAAAATAAATATTAAAAAGAATTCTCTCTCTCTCTCTCTCTCTCTCTCTCTCTCTCTCTCTCTTAAAAACAAAACAAAACAAAACAAAACCTCATCTTCCAAACCAGAACAGTTTGGAGTGTGTAAGGGGGCTCCACTAATATGTTCACTAGGACAAGAGCACACATGAGGATGTTCCAGGCAAGGGGTTATATAATAGAACTTCTTGATATGACACCTGCGAGAAGACTGGAAAGTATACATCCTGGGACAAGTGTGACTTGAGTAATTTGGGACAAGGACACCGGGGGGCACTGGGGATAAGAGGAGGAAATGGGCAGAAAGAAGCCTGTAATTTGCGGAGGGTGGAGAGGTGTCATAAATGATAGCTCTTCAGGGAACCAGGCCCCCAGCATACACCCCAGTGGCTCCCCCTTCTTCTCCCCGAATTGCCTTTCTCTGGAACTCCTAGGTCTGACCTTGCTCCTGGGCAGTCCTGGCCCCCAGTTCCCCTGACCTCACTCCCTTTCCCAGAACTCAGTTGCCTGAGCCCCCAGCCTGCGGTTCTCTTATAGGCCTCAGCCTTTCCTGCCTTCGACTGAAACAGCAGCATCTTCTAAGCCCTGGGGGCTTCCCCAGGCCCTAGCCCCGGCCTAGAACCCGCCCGCTGGCTGCCACGCTGCCACTGCCGCTTCCTCTATAAAGGGACCCAAGCGTCCTGGCCCAGGGGCCCTGCACACCAGGTAGGACTCTCCTGCCCCATCTCCTTGGGCTGCCCCTCTGCCTGGGTCCTGAGCCTTGGCTCCTCTTGCACCTCCCACCTGGATCTCCAGCCTGTCTGGGCCTGGGCCTTGGTTGGGGTGGGTTTTCTTTTGGTTTGTTCCGGGTTTCTATCTCTCCATCTGTCATTCTCTTTCTCTCTGACCTGTCACTCATTCTGATTCTGCAGCAATCTCCTTTTGTTCCTTTCCTTTCTCTCTTTGTTTTTATGTCTCCCTCTGCTCACCTTGGGATTTCCCTGCCTGTGTCTTGTCCCCTTCTCTGTCTGTCATCCTCTCTCAGGGTGGTTGTCTTTGCAGGGCAGGCAGGCAGGAGGTCTGTCTTCCTCTGTGTGCCCCGCCCCATTCACTCTCTCTCTCCCTGCAGATTCTCCCCATGACACCACCTGGACGTCTATACCTCCCAAGGGTGCGTGGCACCCACCTCCTCTTCCTGCTTCTGGGGCTGCTACTTGCGCTGCCACCTAGGGCCAAGGTGAGGCAGTAGGAAAATTGGGGCTGCAGGGGTGGCTCAGCCCAGCTTGGATCCCTAGAGCCCTCTCAATTCTGTTCTCCCCTAGGGACTCCCTGGTGTTGGCCTCCAGCCCTCAGCTGCCCGGGCTGCTCAGCAGCACCCCCAGAAGCATTTTGCTCATGGCACCCTCAAACCTGCGGCTCACCTTGTTGGTAAAGTTCCACCCAACCTCCCAGACATGCAGCCCCCCGCTCCCCTCCTACCCCCATCTAGGGACCCAAGTAGCACCCCATCTTTCCCTGCAGCTTCCCCTACAACTAAAGACAGAGCCTACTCCTTCTCCCCAGTCATCCCCTATAAACTCAATTGTTTAGTACTTGCTTCCTCAGGGTGGAGACCTCTAATGTAGATCCTTGACCCTTCCTCCCCCACCTCCTGTGGCTCTTCCTAGGAGACCCTAGCATGCAGAACTCTCTACGCTGGAGAGCCAACACAGACCGTGCCTTCCTCCGCCATGGCTTCTCTTTGAGCAACAATTCCCTTCTGGTCCCCACCAGTGGCCTCTACTTCGTCTACTCCCAGGTGGTTTTCTCCGGGGAAGGCTGCTCTTCCAAGGCCATCTCCACCCCTCTCTACCTCGCCCATGAGGTTCAGCTCTTCTCCTCCCAATACCCCTTCCATGTGCCTCTCCTCAGCGCCCAGAAGTCTGTGTGCCCAGGGCCACAAGGACCTTGGGTGCGCTCAGTATACCAGGGGGCTGTGTTCCTGCTCACCCGAGGAGACCAGTTGTCCACCCACACAGATGGTATCTCCCACCTGCTCTTCAGTCCCAGCAGCGTCTTCTTTGGGGCTTTTGCTCTGTAGGACTTGGAAAGATCCAGAGAGAAAAAGAAATTGGTTTCAAGTCCTTCTCTCCATTTTGCTTTCGTTCTGACCATTTCAAGGGTCACCACCACCTCTCCTGTGCCCATTCCAACCATCGCCTCATGTCTTCCCCACTCAAGTCACTTGAAGCTTTCAAAGAAGAAATTCCAGGCACTCCAGGGACCACAGTTCCCTGAAGCACCCTGGATATTCTACTGAAGATTTCAAGCCTGCCTAGAAATTCCCAACACAGAGCTCTTCTTCTGTCCCAATGGTCTAGGTGGGGCCTTGACCTGGTCATGGAAGAGGAGTAGACACATGGGGCAGCCTGGGTGGATGACTAGAGGCAGGGAAGGGGGACTATTTATGAAGGGGAAAATTAAGTTATTTATTTATGGAGGATAGAGATAGGGGAACAATAGGAAGGCATTGGAAGAGAGAGTTGAACAGGCCCCAGAGATGGAGAGTGAGAAGGCATTGGCTCAGAGCTCACCTAGAGAGAAAAGTAGGACTAAGGGACCGAAGGGCTCTAGAAGGAAGTGAAAGGCTCTAAAAGCCAGCCACTGCCTGACTAGATACCCACAAGGAGCCATCTGCTCCCTCGATAAAGCCAAATAAACCTCTTTTTTCTCTGAAATGCTGTCTGCTTATGTCTGTCTGTCTGAAGTGGGGACAATTTCTTAGATCTCTCTAGGGAATGAAGGGAGAGACAGAGGTCTCAGAGGGGTCAGGGGCTATGGGCAGGACAAGGAGATAAAGGGGCCCAGGAGCTCCAGGGATTTGTAGCCTGTTCACAGGGGCCAGGCAGCCTGATTGCTGCAGGGGAATTAAGGGAGAAACTGGAAAGAAAAATGGTGGTGATGCGGGGAGGACAAGGTCCTTAGGGGTGGTATTCAGAGGGTTTCTGGGAGCTATGGCCACATGTAGGGCTTCTTAGGAACAGGGGTCATTGATGGCCTCTGGGGAGAAGTTACAATACCAAAGGGTGAGAGAATGTCCAGATTTAGGGAGGTGGAATAAGGGGATTCTCTGGAAGACATGGCCATGCATGGGCCCTAAAGAGTGGGAGAGCCTCCAGAACTAAGAGGTATGAAATATAGTGGACATCTGAAGAGACATGGCCAACATCAGAGCTCTTAAGTCTACAATAAAAAAAAAAAAATTCAGGGGTTTCAAAGTCCTTTGGAAGCAAGACTGAAACCAGTAGTTTGAATTCCAGATAAGAATGAAAGAAGAAGGCCTGGGGTTTGTGAATGAAAGGAGAAGGCCCTCGTGGGTTTTGTGAATTCCCAAGTCAGAGTTCACTCCCTCTGGGGCTGTCCCAGGCTTGTCCCTGCTACCCCTCCCAACCCCTTCCAGAAGCCAATGTGTGCCCCCAATCTCAAACTGTTCTGGCCTCTCCCCCCACCCCAATTCCTTCCCACTCTGAAGCTCCAATTCATGTCTTCCTTCTCAGGAGTCCTGTCTAGAATTCAGAGGGGAGCCTGGTGCAGTGGTGCATGCCTATAATCCCAGTGACTCAGGAAACTCAGGCAGGAGGATAATGAGTTCAAAGCCAGCCTCAGCAACTTAGGGAGGCACTAAGCAACTCAGCAAGACCTTGTCTCTAAATAAAATATAAAAAGGGCTGGGAACATGGCTCAGTGGTTAAGCACTGAGTACCAAAAAGAAAAAAAAAAGAAAAGAAATCAGAGGGGAAAGACCACAGCAGACCTGACCCTCCAAAAAATAGAGACAACAGACATTAAGGGTCAGGAGGAACTGGGTCCAGCTTCCAGGGGGTCTGTTTCTCTCTCTCTCTCTCTCTTTCTCTCTCTCTCTCTCTCTCTCTCTCTCTCACACACACACACACACACACACACACACACACACACTTTGTTAACTGGCCCAAGAAGCTTGCCACAGTATCCGGGTGGGGAGGATGAGGAGTATCCTTGATGCCTGGGTATCCCCAACTTTCCAAACCCCCGCCCCCATGATGGAGAAGAAACCGAGACAGAATGTATAGGGCCCACTACCGCTTCCTCTAGATGAGCTCATGGGTTTCTCCACCAAGGAAGTTTTCCGCTGGTTGAACGAGAGTCTTTCCCCGCCCTCCTCTTGCCCCAAGGGCTATAAAGGCAGCTGTTTGCACACCCAGCCAGCAAAAGCTCCCTGAGCGAGGACACCAGGGGACCAGCCAGGAGGGAGAGAAGCAACTCCAAACTCCCCTGAAAATAATCCCAGAGAGGCAACCAGACAGGCAGGTTCTCTCCCTCTCACACACACACTGCTCCACATCCAGGGCTCCACATTTTCCTCTGGAAAGGACACGATGAGCACTGAAAGCATGATCCGGGACGTGGAGCTGGCCGAGGAGGCACTCCCCAAGAAGGCATGGGGGCCCCAGGGCTCCAGTCGGTGCCTGTGCCTCAGCCTCTTCTCCTTCCTGCTTGTGGCAGGAGCCACTACGCTCTTCTGCCTGCTGCACTTTGGAGTGATCGGCCCCCAGAGGGAAGAGGTGAGTGCCTCCCCAAACTTCACTTCCATCCAGACAGAAAAAGGGGAGAAAGAGAACAAGAGAGAGGTGGGGAGAAAGGAGTGCTGATAGGGAGGGCTAGAGAAGATAGGGTAGCAGAAAGAGATGTGGAAAGACACAAGAAACAGGCTAATCAAATACTTGTTCAATGAATGAATGAATGAATGAATGAGCAGGCAGATATACATATATAAAGAGTTCCAGAGAAAGATGTGGAGCATGAGCAGAGATGGGAGAAAAGAAAGTTATATGATTAAAGGTGATGAGACAGAATGAGATGTGGATGATATGAAAGATAAGGAGAGAACTGAGGGAAAGAGATATAAGGAGAAAGTTGAAGGAAAGTGAAATAAGGAGAGGCAAAAATTTGGCCCACAGAAGGCACTGTTGGATGTATGTAAGGATAAATGAATGAATGGAAAGACGAAACCAGATGTTTGGTGCAGAGAGCTCAAGCTGAATAAGCAGCCAGCTGATTCTCCTCTGGGTTGATTCCTCGAGTACTAAATCTTTTCCTTCTCCCACAGTTCCTGAATAACCTCCCTCTCGGCCCCCAGGCCCAGATGCTCACACTCAGTAAGTATCTCCCAAACTTCTTTCCTAATTCTGGTGGAGGGAGGAGTGTTAATCCTGAGATGGAAACAGTGGGGGAAATTTAGAGTTTTGGGTTTTGGGGAGAAGGAATGGAGGTCAAAGTAGGCAGGGATTTTCAAAGAAGTTTGGGGGGGGCTCAACTTTTTCTTTTCTTTCTTCCTCAGGATCATCTTCTCAAAACATGAATGACAAGCCTGTAGCCCACGTTGTAGGTAAGAACTCTGAGCATGTGTCTTGGGGATGAAGGAGCACATAATACATGGAGGCATAGGACTGGTGGGTTGAAAGTAGAAGATCCTGGAGACATTGTGTGAAGGAGGGTGGAGGAATAGAAAGGCCTGTGATGGATACTCAGAAACTCAGGGCCAGAAGAGATGTGAAAACAGAGGGGACAGTAACCGGAAGTTGGGGTGAGCAGAACTTGAGGGCCAGGATGTGAAGTAAACTCACAGGGTCATACTGACTCACCTCTCCCTCCCTCTAGCAAAAAATGAAGACAAGGAGCAGCTGGTGTGGCTAAGTCGTCGTGCCAATGCCCTCCTGGCCAATGGCATGGAGCTGATAGACAACCAGCTGGTGGTGCCTGCAAATGGGCTATACCTCGTCTACTCCCAGGTCCTCTTCAAGGGCCAAGGCTGCCCCTCCTACGTGCTCCTCACCCACACTGTCAGCCGCTTTGCTGTCTCTTATCAGGATAAGGTCAACCTCCTCTCTGCCATCAAGAGCCCCTGCCCAAAGGAGAGCCTGGAGGGGGCTGAGTTCAAGCCCTGGTATGAACCCATCTATCTGGGAGGGGTCTTCGAGCTGCAGAAGGGTGATCGACTCAGTGCTGAGGTCAACCTGCCCAGCTATCTCGACTTTGCTGAGTCCGGGCAGGTCTACTTTGGGGTCATTGCTCTGTGAGGGAGATGGATGTCCATCCACCTCCTCTCCTTCACCTACCACAATCCCTCGACCCCTGCCTCCTTGTCCTTTTTTGGCTGAGAAAGGGAATTAGGGTCAGACCCCAATCTTAGAACTTTCAACACCACTCAGAAAACTTGGATGAAGGGATGTGTGACCTGGATGATGGGGCACTCTAGCAAGAATTCAAACCAAGACTATCAGAAACCACTGGGGCCCTCGGGTTTTGATCCCTGAATTCAACCTGGGACATCTGAAATGTGGGGATCAGGAAGCTTTTGGTTCAGCACACTCTTTAAGAAGACTTCACCTCGAACACTTCACAAGAGTGGACCTCAGGCCTTCCTCTCTTCAGATGTTTCCAGACTCCTAAGATATGGAGCCCATCCCTTCCCACAGGGCCAGCCCCCTCTATTTATGGTTGCACTTATGATTATTTATTACTTATTTATTATTTATTTATTTACTGATGAATGTATTTATTTAGAAGGTCAGGGTGTCCTGGGGGCCCAACGTCGGAGCTGCCTTGGGCCAGACATGTTTTCTGTGAAAACGGAACTGAACTATAGGCTGTTCCCACCTGGCCTCCTGGTCTCTTTGCCTCCTTTTGCTTATGTTTTAAACAAAATATTTATCTAATCCAGATGTTTTAATAATACTGATTTGGTGACCTACTGTTGCTACATCGCTGAACCTCTGCTCCCTAGGGGAGCTGTGTCTGTAATCGCAGTGGCGAGAAATAGAAATAAAGATTGCTTAGAAAAGAAACATGATCTCTCTCTTGGAGTCAATTCTGCATCTGTCTCTCCCTGGGGGTAGGAGCCCACTCTCTGAAGTCTTCTCTCTGCAGAGCTTAAGATGCCTGGACACGGGCTGGGGATGTGGCTCAGCACCACATACAAACAAAGATGTTGTGTCCGCCGAAAACTAAAAAATAAATATTTAATAAAGATTCCCTCTCTCTCTCTTAAAAAAATAAAAATTAAAAAAAAAAAGATGCCTGGACACAGACAGACCCCCGTACTTAGATTCTTGGGGTCCAGGAGATACTATGTAACAAAGCCCAGCTGAATAGCCTCCCTCCTCCAGGAAACTGGAGCTTGAACCTAATTACCTGTCCCTCAGGGCATGGGAATTTCCCACTCTGGGAATTCCAAGTACTTGCTGGGAAAATCCTGCTACTCTTTCCGGCTGTTGTGGCCTGAGAGAGCTGGGGAGGAGCCACATTCTCAGGTACCTGAATCACAGCCAAGGAACTTCCAAAGATTCAGGTGTCTGGGCTCCAAATCACTCCATCCCAACCACCTTCCCCCAAACCCTGTGCTAACTGTGCAACCTAAACCAGTCAACCTCACCTGCCACTGCCTGAAGGGCATATGAAAAAAAAAGGCCCAACTTCCATCAGACCCAGCTCAGTACTTGGCATGATAGCCACTCAATAAATGCTGCCTTACTTCCTTTATCCATTCATTCTTCAGTGGGTAAAATTGGAAAAACCAACTAAAATTAAAAATCAAAGACTAAAAGCAAGGGATATAGCTCAGTGATAGAGTACATGCTTAGCAGGTGCAAAGCCCTGAATTAAACCCCCAGCACCAAACAACAACAACAAAAAGGCTGGAGCAATGCCTATGCCTATAATCCCAGCGACTCAGGAGGCTGAGATAAGAGGATTTCAAGTTCAAAGCCAGCCTCAGCAACAAAGAGTCACTAAGCAGCTCAGTGAGACCCTGTCTCTAAATAAAATACAACATAGGGATGAGGATGTGATTCAGTGGTAGAGTGCCCCTGAGTTCGATCCCCAATATACCCCCACACCACCACCAAAAGGTATAAGATGTTGGTGAAGGACCCACTTGCCAGCTTTGGTCTCATTGATCTTTTTAGTGAATGATGAGGGGTTGGGCACGATGGGAGTGAATTGGAAAGAGAAAAGAACCTCTGTTAAAGAAAAAAAATTACTCAATGGAATATGCAAGTCCTGGGTTCCATCCTCAACACAACACACACTCACATACACACACACACATTCACATTACTCAATGGTACTTGGTAAAGCATGGTAGGAAAGACTATTCAGAGCTGGGTGTGGTGGGGCATACCTGTAACCCTGATTTAGGAGGATGAGGCAGGAGAATTGCAAGTTCAAGACCAGCCTCAGCAACTTATCAAGGCCCTGAGCTACTTAGTAAGGTCCTAAGCTACTTAGTGATACCATGTCTCAAAAATAAATAAGTAAATAAATAAACAAATTGTGAAGAGGATGTAGCTCAATGGTAAAGCACCCCTGGGTTCAATTCCCAGTACCAGGCTCCAAAAGGAGGAGGAGAAGGAGGAGGCGGCGGCAACTATTCAGGACCATGGTGATACCCTGCAATGAAATCTTGCAGTGAGGAAGAGAGACTGGGCTAAACTCCAAATACAGCATGGGCAAGAGGGAATTGATAGCCAAGGAGCAGGGTGAGGGTCAGTGGATGGAAAATAACTAAAAGGAAATACAAATCAGGGATGGGGGATTCTGGTTAAGCAGATCTGACAGGATATTTGCTGAGTCAGGCCAGGGTAATTAGACATCACTTGGGAATATAGAAGATAAGGAACTTGACCAGATATTGAGAGTGATCAGACATGGAGAAGGTGGTAGGTTCGTGCTAAACCAACTTAGCAGCGTTTGTGGCTAAAACTGGATTTTATGAGGAAGTATACAAATAGGCAAAGTAGAAGATTCAGAAACCTGACTAAAGTTTGGCCAAGCAAAATATACTTATCACCCTCAATCCCCACAGGAAGGCTCTTCTGAACATGGAGTTACAGTAGAGGTAACAGAGGCAGAATAGAGGCCGAATAGGAAACAGAGCCTCATAGAGTAGCCTCCACTAGGCTCAGAAGTTGGGTTTTCCTTCAGTCCAGATGCGTAGCCAGGCAGTGGAAAATCAATAAGTGATGTTCTGCGGGGGTGGGGTGACCCACTGGGGTGACCTAGATAGGGCTTTGAGTCCCCCTCTGCCTCCTCCAGGCTGCGGCTGAAAGTCGGTCATGGTGTGGGGAGACTGCTGTTACTCACCCCAAAGGTACCCATACTTGTCTATTTGGGGGAAGGAGGACCCGAACAAAGGATGAATACTTTCCATCCCACCCAACACAGGATCTTCTTCAGTTTCCTCCTCCACCCCTCCTCCCTAGGCTCTCCCTGTTGGGGTGGGGCACCACAGGCTCCTCTCCTCCCAAACAACCTCCATTCCTTCCTGTAGCCACCTGCATTCACACCCAGGAGCCTGATTACTGCTCCATGTAGAAGAATAGGTTGGGGACTAAAGGGACCTTTAGTCAGCCAGAGGGGAGAGCTGCTGGAGCCCTCGATGCTTCCCCCCTCAGCCATACTAGGTCGTTCTGAGTGGTGCTTGCTTTCCCCTGTAATGACTACTCTCAGAGTAGGAAGGGACCCCAGGGAAAAGAGAATAGTGAGAGCCTGGTGGGGATTACCATGCCCTGAGAACCACCGATGCTTCAGGGTTTAAAGAGGCCCTTCCTTATACCCTCCAACTGGACTCGTGCTGGGGTCTGGCCTTCAGAGGTAGGGTGAGTGGGAAGGGCAGGCCACACAGAGTGGGAGCAAAGGCCACACACAGTGTTATGGATGGTTTTGAGCAACGAGAAAGACACAAAAACAATTAACCAACACATTGCACCACTATGAATTAAGACGCGTTGGCATCTCTTCCGTACTGACGGCACTAAAGCTTCACATTCTTTATTTTCATCGGGTTCAAAATCAGTTTCTAAACAGTTTGCTATATTTTTCTTACTGCCCTGGGATCCCGGGCGTCTGGGTCCCCAATCCCTGGGTCGATTCATACATTCGCACTATGCAGACATTTTCCTAGGGACGCAGAGGGCACTAACCCTACCTACCATCACGGCCCCAAAGAAAGTCTTCCCTCTCCTATAGTCCACCATATCGGGGTGACTGATGTTGACGTACACCCTCTCGCCCCTCCGGAGCTGCACCAGGCCGCCGAACCCCACGCTCGTGTACCAGAGGGGTCTGTACTGTGGCCTCCCGGCACGTTCCAATACTGGAGTCACGGTTTCGGCGCCCTCCAGCAGCAGCTCGGGAGCGCCCCGACCGTAGGCGCCACCAGCCCGATACAACGAGCTGCGCAGCGTGACGGAGCGATCCTGAGGGCCCCCGCCGGAAGGTGGCGCCCGACCCCGGTAGCCGACGTTACAGTAGAGGTAATAGAGGCCGTCCTGCGGGAGGGCCAGCCCCTCGGCGCCAGAGAACTGCGTCCCGCTCCTTAGAAACGCTTCTTCTTTCTTCGCCTCCCAGCTTAGCCCCTGTCCCTTCATCCACGCGCCTGCAGAAAGACGGGTGGATGGATTCTCGGGTGGGTGGATTCTCCGGGAACTGGTGCTGTGAGCACCGCTTCAGGACCGGACTTCAGGGAGGGTAGGCAGGAGGGGGCGGGGCGCGACTCCTGGAGGGGCGGGGGCAGCGAGGCTATGTTTGGAATGAATCCAAGCTGGGGGCTGAGGGCACCGGGTTGTGGGGTGCGGAGGGCTGTGGTAAGATCTAGGCTGAGTTTTGTCTGCTCCGGGAAGCAGCAAGAATGGGGAATTAGTGGAAGGATGGGCACTTTAGGGGCAAGAGGTGGTGGAAGGGGTGGGCAATCCAGCACTGAAATCGCAGAATGGAGGGACTCCTCAAAAATTGGCACTCTTGGACTATTTGAATGCATATTCAGGTCGACCACAGCCTTACCAATAAGGTGGGCAGCCGGGAGCCTGGAACTGAGATCTGTTTCTGGCTTCTCTTCCTGCAGCTGCTGAAACCCTGGAACTGGTGTAGAGGCCACAATTGGGGGCAGGGTGGCCACCCATGGATGCTTCCCATGAGAGGACAGGGCGCCAGGGCGCAGGAATGGATTCTTGGAGGAAGAGGGTATCTGGGAATGCAGACGGGAAGGGAGTCCATTGCTCTTACTCAGTCCTTGCTGGGCTTGTGCTCCCAGGCCTGCGGACTCCATTACCTGGTTGGGTAAGGTAACCATGTCCAGAGTTCAGATTCATCTGATGCCAACTGCACCCCTCCAACCATGGACCCAAACCCCAGGCTGGGTTTCCAGAACCATCCCCAATAAACATCTCCCTGGAAGGGAGAGCAAGCAAGACATATGTATTTGGGCAGAGAGATGGGTCTGTGTGTGTCTTGGGAAGAGGAGAGGAGAGAAATAGACAACCAGGAAGGGACTTGGAACATCAAGACAGTAGCAGTACAGGAACATGGAAACATTCAGCAAAAAGACAGACATAACATTTCCACCAGAGACAGCCAGTCAGTTGAGCCAGGTATGCAAAAGACCCCAGTAATAGCCAGAGGTCAATGAGCATCAGCAAGATGCAGCCCTTTAAGGTCTGTTGCAGCCACTCACCAGTCCTCCCTGCTCCTGGGGCACCAAGGCCAGCACAGCCAGGACAGTGATAGGCACTGCCAGCAGCAGGGTCACCAGCGAAGTGGCTCCTGCCACAGCCAGCAGGAGGCAGCCCGTTCCCTGGGGCCTCCCACCCCGGCCCTGCAGCCCCAGTGCTCCCATCCAGACTCTGAACCAGGACCAGAACAGGGGGGCTTTCATACCTCAGGGGTGGGGCCACCCCCTCCCTATAGACCCACACACCTGGCTGGGACTTTCCGCACACCCCTGCTCCCCTCACCCAGCTTCCTGTTTACCCAGAGCTGGGGTGGGGCAGCTGGATGCCTGGGTTCTCTGAACTGGGGAAGGAGTTGGGGTAGAAAGACAGTCTCAAAGTAGAGCTGGAGGGGCTTTTCACTCTGGCTCACAGGGAAATTGAGGCCCAGAGAGAAAAGGAAGTTTGCAGAAAGTCAGATAGCAAGACTGTAATGACAATACAGAACTCTCTCCAATGTCTTTTGCATTCTCCTATACCTCAGAGATGGGTGCTAGAAGAGGACTGCAAACCCTTTCCTGAAGTAAAGGGCTGGAGTAGGAGGACAAGAACTGGGGTCTTGAGGGATGAAATAAACCTATATACACACACTGGGCTGACCTCTTCATTCCCTTGCTCACTCCTATCCTCCTAGCAGTAGGTGGGAAAGGCAGAGTTAAGCCAGTTCACAGCAATGGCAGTTGAACCAGGCCTCAGCCTCACCAATGACTGCTGACTCACTGAAGAGAGATAGGAATACAGTATTACCTCCCTTGCTATCAAGATCAAGGACCAGAGAATGATGAGGCACACTCCCACCTTAGAGAGCTTTAATCTAGAATGAGCTCCATCCATTAGTATATGCTTACTAAATATGCATGAATAGATGAATGAAAGGAAAAATGAATGAATAAGCAAAACAAAATAGGAAGGACCAGATGAATGGAAGAAGCAGGCAGTGGGAAAGAGTTGAGGGAAAAAAGATCAGGTCTGAGGAAGTTTCAGATGGCCCTAGATCATCTCTACTTCTTGATGACAACTCTCTGTGTTAGGATAATAATAATAGTAGTAGTAATAGGACTGGGGATATAGCTCAGTTAATAAAGTCCTTGCTTCCCATGCACAAGGTCCTGCGTTTGATTCCCCAGCACCACACACAAAAAAAATAATAGTAGTAGTAACACTAATAATAATAATAATATAGCTAATACACAAATAACATTGAGCATGTGTGAGACACCAATCTACATACTTTATTTATAATAATTATTTCAATCTTGATACCTAAGTAGAAACTGAGGCACAGAGAGGCTAGCTAAGAAACTTATGAACAGTCTGGGCTTGTAGCTCATTGGGAGAATGCTTGCCCAGCATGTGTGAGGCCCTAAGTTAGATTCCCCCCCAAAAAAATTTGTGCATTTCAAATTTGTGCATTTTACTATATGTAAATTTTGTCTTCCTCAGGCAAAAGAAAAAAAGAAATGGAGAAATATACTCAACTTGAGTCAGTGATCAGCACACTATGGGGTTTAGAGGTGACATGTTCTAACATTTGCAACTTCAAAAGATACAAGACACAAGATAAATGTATGATAAAGAAAATACAGGCCAGGGCTGGGATTGTGGCTCAGCAGTAGAGCGCTCCCCTAGCACAGGTGGGACCCAGGTTCGATCCTCAGCATCATATAAAAATAAAGGCATTGTGTTGTGTTCATCTACACCTAAAAAATAAGTATTTAAAAAAATACAGGTAGATGAAATGGCACACATCGGTAATCCCAGTGATTCAGGAGGCTGAGGCAGAAGGATCCCAAGTTCAAAGCCAACTTCAGCAATTTGGCAAGACACTGTCTCAAAATAAAAATATAAAAATGGCTAGGGATGTGACTCTGTTTTTAAGTGCCCCTGGTTTTAATCCCTATTACCAAAAATAAAGAATGAAAGAAAATATAGAAAACTCTTAATTGTAGAATCTGGGTGGTAAGGATATATTTGCTGTGTAATTCTTTCAAATTTTCTCTTCATTTGAACTTTAAAAAATATATATAAAATAAACAAACATACCTGAATATTGTCCTATTTTTCTGCAGGAGGAACATTAAGAATGGTGTGGTGGTAAGAAGTAGCAGAAAGTTCCTGAATTTTTATTTATTTTTTTGTGGTACTGGAGATTGAACCTAAGGTCTTATACATGCTTACATCCCACCCCTTTTTACTTCATTTTGAGACAGTCTTTTTTTTTTTTTTTTTCTGGCAGTTCTGGGGATTTAACCCAGGGGTGCTTTACCACTGAGCTACACCCCTAGTTGTGTGGGTTTTTTTTGTTTTGTTTTGTTTTGTTTTTAGATAAGATCTTGCTAAGTCACTGGGGCTGGCCTTAAACTTGTGATCCTGCTGCCTTAGCCTCCTGAGTGGCTGGGGTTACAGGCATGCACCATGTCCAATTACAAAGTTCCTGAATTTGGAAAATAAAATGCAAATACATATAAACACAGGCACCAGATCTCTTCCTCACCTCTTGCCTTCACTTAAGCTTCATAGTCTTTACCTTTCCCAAAGGCCAGGAGTACAATCCTCCATCATCCTTCACCCTCTCCATCACAGTATCATGAAGGATCCTTTGCCCAGGTCTCTAACCAGAGGGCCTTGGATCACTGCCCTTAGTTCTGTGCTCAGCACCAGAATGTTGCCTCCTGCAGGAAGTCTTCCTGGATTACCCCCACCTCCTATGCCAACAACTTGTCAACTTTTTGTCCTTAATCTATTAGCAGTATGGCTACCTCTGATTGTCCTGCTTATTAATCAACCAGCCAAGCACCCTGCTGGATTCTTGGCTATAGATATAGAAGACCAGGAGTCACCCTAAAGTCATCAGAGTTCTGCCCAATGTAGAAGCCAGGCTGTGTGTGTTCTCATGCATAAACCGAGATCATGAGCTCTCAGCAGATGCAGAGTGAAAGGTAACTGGGGACAAGTTAATCAGGTAAGGCCTCTAGAGGAGGGGGACATTCACTGACTACTAGCATAATCAATAGTATGACTGGAGTTGAGAGGGACCTATTCACTGCCCGCAGCCTGGGAACCTTGAAGGAAAGATGTTGTAATCCTAGATCTCAGGGATGTACTTCCTCTCCTAATAATGCTGGGAAAGTTGTGTTGGGGGTGGTTAAGACCAGAGAAGGGGCAGGAATGTCTGAGATGGCCACTCTCCTTTCTACCTAGGGGTCTCTAGCCAATGTATCCACCCTTCAGGGTAAGCTGGAAATAGGTAGAGATCCTCATCCGGGAAATTGTGGGGTTAGGGTAAGAATGGTCACACCCCAGAGTGAGGTAAGGTTAAGAAGAAGGGAGTCAGAAGCACGTATTTGGTATTCCCTAGGTCCCAAAGAAATCCTCTATCCAGCCTGAGTCTCTGATGACCAAGGAAATGAAAAACAATCCATTTATGTTCCCACCATCCTCATGGCCATCTCAGGCTTCTGTTTCCCACACGCACCCTAACTAATTCCTCTTAAACCCAGGAGAGTCTTGGTTTTAGACCATAGTCAGTACATCTGGCTTTGGTGTGAAGTCAGTAGTCCCCTCTTTGCCCTCAAACAGGAACCAGTGGTCGGAGTGCAGGAAGTGCCTGAGGGGAAGTTGTGGGCCCCAGAAATTCTTCCACGCCCCAGTTCACCGTATCAGCCAAGTAGAGACCTGTTCTACTGGGCCACAGTAGCTGAGAGGCTCTGGATACTTTTCTCTCTACTTTTCTACAGCCCCCACACCCACTCTAGTTCCAGGCTCCTCTCCCTCCATCATCCCTCTCACCAGTTCCTAGAACTACCCAGTGCTGGAGAGGCCCCTCTAAACCACCTGGCCAGCCTTGGTCAGAGGGAAGGGAGGTCGGGGGCTCTGGAGTTGGCTAGAACTCAAACCCCAGCTCTACCCACTTCTGACTAGATATCTCTGTAAAAGTCCATGCTTGAGACTCAGACTCCTTAGACCTGGGAAATAAATGGATACTATATTACCCTCTACTCTCAGGATCTGTGGGAACAAGTGGAAAATGCCCATCTCAGGGTTAGGACATAGGTGAGGCTCCTTAGCTAGGGAAAAGATTGTAACACAGGGCCCCTTGTTTCACAGATAAGGAACTTGAGGCACGTGACTAGCCCAGGTCATTAAGACTGTCAGAACACTGGCTAGGCTTCTTGATCTCCAGGCCAGTTCTCAGTCCTCAACCTAATGTGTTCATTCAGCTGTGAGTAAGGGGCCCTTCTCTTCTGTACAGGGAGGGTTGTGGGTGTGCAGGGAGTAATGGGTGAAAAGAGATATGGATGGTTTACTGTAGGTGATCAAGGCTTCCAAGGACCACAGGTGTGGGTGGGAAAGAGACCCCACAGAGGTCCTGGATTAACAGGGACTGTGGTGGGAAGCCACAGGGGTGAGCGGTCCCAGATATGAGGCAAGGTATCTGATAAGGGATGCATAACTCTGGTAGGAAGTGAGATAATGAGGTCTAGGGTGAAAAATCTTTAAGAGTATATTTTTCCGCCTCTAAAACTGATAGGGAAATTGAGATGCCCACAACCAACCAGGAGGATGTGAAAGCTGAAGAGAGAAATAGACCCTCTAACACTTACCCCTCTTCCCTACAGGGTGCCCTTTCTTCCACTATGGGGTATTGGGCCTGGGAGGGCTCCTGCTCTTGCTTGTGGTCACTCTGTTCACCTGCCTCTGTCTGCTCCGTCGGAGAGGTGAGCTCTAGCTTCATTTCCTCAGTCACCTATAGCAGTGCCCACCCACACCCTTCCTACTGCTGAGGCCAAAGTCTCCATCAATCCTGACAGGTCCTGACTGGTGGGAGTTGGGTGGGAAAGGTGAGAGAAGAATATGCAAAGGGCCAGCGCTGAGCTGGGGATGTAGCTTAGTGATAAAGCATTTGTTTCCTATGTGCAAGACCCTGGGTTCTCTCCCGAGCAATGCAGAAAAGAAAAAGTGGGGGGCAGGGCTTTGTCCCTGGAAACCACCAGAATCTATAAGGGAGGAAACTACTGCTGGGATGGTGCAGAGCTAGTGAGGAAGGCTTTGCTGAGTTGCTTCTTTTTTTCCAGTGAAAAGATTGGAGAGAAGATGGGTGAGTCTGGGGCAGGGAGGGGAGGGTCAGAGAGAGCCCAAGCGGGGTTGGGGGATAAGGGGGTGCAGGGGGCTGAAGTGAGGGGTGGGGGCCAAGAGTAAAGAGGGGAGACAGTGGAAACATGAGAAAGTCAGAGAAAGGCAAAAAGAGAGAAGAAATTGAGAAGAGAGAAAAAGAAATGATATGAAGATCAGAGAAAATAAGATTGAAAAAGAATGGATGGAATGAGAGAGACAAAGAGATGAAAAATGAGAAAGAAATTAAGAGACAGACAGAAAATGAGAGAAAAGGAAAAAGTAAGAGAGTAGGAATAAAAGTGTGCACGGGTAGAGGCGGGGTGACAGGGGGAGCAAGAGATGGAGAGACACAAAGAGAAACAGCAATAATAGAAAAGAACAGCAGGGCTGGGGATATAGCTCAGTGCTCGCCTTGCACGTACGGAGGCCCTGGGTTTGATCCCCAGCACCAAAAAAAGAATAGAAGCGTAGGTCAGCAGAGAGAGAAAGATGGAGACAGGGAGAATGAGAGGAAGAGGGAAGCTTCAGAGAAAAAAAAAAAAAGGAAAACTGAGGCATCAGTGAGGTAAGAAAGATGGGAGCTGAGGGCAGTACTCAGGGATCGATCTGAGGGTGCTGCTCCCAGCACCCTTCCATCAGCATCTCCTACCTGGCCAGGACCACCTTCCAGACCAAGAGCTCCACTATGCCTCTCTGCAAAGGTTACCCATATTGGGCAGTGATCAGGTCGAAGGAGAAACAGAAGACATGAAGGAGGACCACAGCACTGACTACGCCTGCATTGCCAAGAACAAACCCACCTGAGTACCCCCAGACACCTCCCTCACCCCAGGCGGGTGGTCAGGATCATCCTGTGGTTCACTCAGTAAAGACTATGATCTTGCCACTTCTGTGTCTCAGGCCTCTCAATCTATCTCGAACCACTATTCCAAATGAGAACAATCCAGATTTAAGTAGCTCGCTCCCATTCTTTTTGGGGTCAAGTCATAAATATTGGGTTAAAAAAAGGTATTAAGGAACTGAACTTCCCTGGGAGCAGAAAATTGTCTGTGGGTCTGGCTGAAATCAGCAATTGACAAGTAGGAATAATTAATCTGATAATCTCCATTTCTCAGGAGCCACAGTCTCAGCCTCCCGGGCTAAGACTCCAGATAATGCTGGGACAAGCTCCAGATAATGCTGGGAGGGACCTCTAGGCCCTATTGCAGGGAGATCTCTCCTTGGACCTGTCCAGGTCAGACCTAAGGGGAAGAGAGTTAAGAACCAGGGGGAGCAGATTTGGGCATCTGGAAAATTAAGAAGAAAATATACAAGACTCTAAAGGAGGAGGTAGTTATGGGGCAGAGAAGGATATATTGGGGTCTCTTGAAAAGGGTCAGAGATCACTAGGATCTGGAATCATTCCTCAGAGGCCACCCAAGGAATGGCAGCATGTCCCCATGTGATAGTGGCCTGGTGGGAGAGATGAAAGGAGCCATTCAGTGCCCCAACACTGAAGCTCTCCTCTTCATAACGTATGTCCTTTCCTCCTCCAGTTCTTTTTTTTTTAAGAATTTTTTTTTTAATTTTTATTTTTTTTAGTTCTCGGCGGACACAACATCTTTGTTGGTATGTGGTGCTGAGGATCGAACCCCGGCCGCACGCATGCAAGGCGAGCGCGCTACCGCTTGAACCACATCCCCAGCCCATCCTCCTCCAGTTCTTACTGCCCCTCCTATCCCTCCATTATTGCTCCAGGCTCCATACTCACATTTGCTCTGGTAAGAGAGGGTGCTGCCATGGAGAGAAAACCAAAGGCATAGAATCCAGCCTGAAGGAGGAACACTGTGCTTATCTTTAGCCCATGAGGTCCTGCATGAGGGCAATGGAGAGGAAGGGGCTTAGTTAACAAGGGCAGGGGGAGGATTCCTGATTTCCAGGGACATTCCAGTCAAGGAGGTCCTGCCTCCGCATGCCTTATTGTCTCTGCCAGCAGCTGAGTCCTATTGCCTGTGCCAACATCCAGGCCCAACACCTCCACCCTGCACACATAGACGCCAGCATCTTGGCCTTGGTGTCCTAGATGTGCAGCTCAGCCTGGAGGTTACAGAGGAATTGGGAAAAAGAAAGGGGAACCAGGCGGTCCCTGAACTATGGGGTTCTGTTCTTCACTTCCTTCGCAGGGGCCACCTTGTCTTGGTACCATGTGACAGAGCCAATGGCTGGTCTCCCTCTGCTGGCATTGAAGGAGCAGGGCGGGAGGGCTGCAGAGAACACCCAGAGAATACAGGATCCTGGGGACAGAGAGAAAATCCAGAGATGCCTCTCTAGTTTCTCCAAGAGAAAAGAGCTTGGAGTGAATGTCCCAACTGTCCCTCTTTGTAAGGCACACAGACACATGCTTTGAGTGTCTCATTAAATCTTTCCCTCTTTACTAGTTTACTAATTCCTTTTTTAGGGGGCGGGGGTACCGGGGATTGAACTCAGGGGCACTCGTCCACTGAACCACACCCCCAGACCTATTTTGTATTTTATTTAGAGACAGGGTCTCACTGAGTTGCTTAGTACCTTGCTAAATTGCTGAGGCTGGCTTTGAACTTGTGATCCTTCTGCCTTCACCTCCCGAGCTGCTGGGATTACAGGTGTGCACCACCGCACCCCGATAATTTAATTTCTTAACATTGTTTATTAAATCATTTTTCAAAGTCTTTCCCATTCCAATTCTCACCCTCACCCTCTCCAACTGCCTTCACAAAGGACTTGTCTTGCTGAATTTATGCTTCCATGGTGCAATTGCAACTCAGTATTGAATGTGGCTGCCTAGCTAACTAATATCATCATGATATTATTTCAGGAATTACTTTAGTACTAATAACATTCCATAATAGTAAACCATCTTTGCTATGTTTTTTGTTAGAGCATTAACTAATTAAATTTCCAGGTGAAGACATAGCTGAGATTGGTTGAAATCCTCATTGAACTTGTCCATATTGATTAATTAAATCAATTATTAAAATCTCCAATTAAATTATCTAATTAGGGAAAAATTTCCCCCATCATTCTATTTCAGTGATTCTCAAACCTGACTGTGTATGGGAATTCCCCTAAATTACCTGTTTGTACTTTTTTTTTTTTCCCCTTGAGCTGAATTTCACTCTATTGCCTAGGCTGGCCTCAAATCCCTGGGCTCAAGGGATCCTCCCCATTCAACCTCCTGAGTAATTGGGACTACAACGCACACACATGCCAAAGTCTTTGTTGAAATAGATTCCTTGGTTGGCCCCTAGAGTCTGGACAGAGGCCTAAGAATTTGCCTTAGGTTCCCAGGTGGCTGAAGCTGAGAATGGAATCTACACCTAAAAAGCCCTGTATTTAGTTAACTAATATGCCTGATAGTTAAGCAATCTCTGTTAATTAAAATAGGTTTCACTAAAAAAAAGTATGTTAGACTTAATTAGGACTCCTGAACTCCTAATTATATATCCAGATCCTAACTAATAAGCCTAGATTAATACACTTCTTAAACATCAAATGAAAATCCTACAAAAAAGACAAACCAAAATTCTGGTCCTTTCCTTCCTTCTTTCCTTGCAGCCGTTTTTACTGGTTCTTTCAACTTTATCTTACTAGGAAGGTAACTGAGAAGAAAAGGTCTCTGGCATGGAAATTTAGAATAACACTTGCAGTAAGCCAGAGACCTAGAGGGGCTGTGAACCTACTGTCTACTGGCATCAGCTAACAGAGGTGAGGGGAAGTGCCCACAGCTCCCCTCAGGGCACAAGGTTCAGCCCTACCAAGCTTGCTCCCCTAGGGCATCTAAGTCCAGCCTCCCCATAGCCTCCTCCTCCCAGCCCCACACCCCTAAGAGTCCTGAGCAAATACCCTGTCATTTGGATAGACCATAATAAAGATGAGCAATTGCGTCCAGGCCATGTTGAAGGATGCTCCAGTTGTTGAGGAGAACCTGGGTGGAGGTCCTCAATCACTTGTGGTCAGATCTTTAGTCACCAGATGGAGGGTAGAAAGCTTTTTAGGACAAACAGAACTCACGCATCACTTGCTAAGGACCTGACTGCCTGGGACCTTGGGTACCAAATGCATGCCTCCCTGAGGAAAGAAGATGCTGCAGGTGAAGATGTCTGGAACTCTGGGAGGTGGGGCACTTGGCCCACATGCAAGGAGTAGGGTGGAGCTTAGATGGCTGGTAGCCCAAGGGTGGGTGAGACCAGGATGTGGTTCCCTCCGCTTCTGAGGTTCAAGAAGACCAACCCTTTACTCAGAATAAGCCTCCAGCAGCCCTACTGGGCCCCAAAGCTAACCTCCTTCCCCTCGCCCTTGCTCAAGTTTGCCCAAGCCCATCATTGCCCCCAATTCCTTCCCTGAACTCTGGCCCCCCTTCCCCCCAGGACTGCCCTGGGATTTGTATAAATGAGAGGATTAGAGAAGCAAGCTGATTGATGATAGGTGGCGGGCACCAGGGACATTGTGGAGAAGCTACATTTACATAGCCTGTTTTACTCTGATAGTGTTGATTGGGTGGTTTGGCAGAAGAGTGAGTGCTGCTGATGGAGTTTGGACTCATTCATATTCAGATCTCCATTACAGGAATCCACTCCTACCGGAGGTCTGTTTATCTGCCTTCTATACAGGCTTACCCACTGGGAAATCCACTCTGTATTTTACAGACACAAATGAAAGACACATCACATAACACATAACTTTGAGTTTATATAGGGATTAGTACAAGAGTATGCCACACACCTGGTTATGTATACTGCACATAACACAGCATTCAGAAAACAAGCATTACATGTAATATGTCAGGTGGAACCTTTTTAAACTGTAAGCATGTATTGATTGATTGATTCATTGGTGCTGGGGATTGAACCCAGGGCCTCATACATGTGAGTCAAGCACTCTTACCAACTGAGCTATACCCACAGCCCCTATTTCTAGTTCTATTTTGAAATGTGTTCTTAGATATGTTGCCACCTATCACTGCAACTCAGAGCTTTCTTTTAGAGAAGCAGTAACCTCAGGGGTAAAAATGCTGGCTTGGAACAGGCTGGGTTCAAATGCCAGCTCCCTCACAAACTAGTAACATAATCTTGAACACATAGTTTAACCTCCCTGAGCCACCTGGACAACCACACATGCCACAGAGTCTGAGAAGTATGGAGTCAGTCATTGTTCAGCAATGGAAAAGCCACCTCCCAGGGCATCTAACTGGACCATGTGGGACTGAGATGCCTTAGCAAGGCAAGAGCTGCCCCCTGCTGGTTACAGGGCATGAGAGACGTGAGACTTCATGGTGGTTTTACTCCTCTGGGCCTCATTTCCAGTTTCTTCCCTGTCCCTTACTTTATCTTCTTCTATCAACCCCCAAACCCACCCCAAAAAGTCAATGTGGAGAAAATTATCTCTTCTACTTCAACTGTGAGAAAGCCACAGTTTGGGGAGCAAGGCAAGGTCAACACTAGTGGGGACATGGAATGGGCCACCAGATACTCACATGTGGAAGTATTCCATGTCCCAGGTCCACGTGGCTTAGAAGCCGAGGCAGGCTAAGTTGGAGTCCCAGTTCCACTACTTACATATCTGTAAAATGAGAGTCTCTCCTGTAAACTCCCAGATCCCTCTGCATCAGATGTTCAGTGTACAGTGATTCAGATTTCCCCAGTCCTGGGATAAGGTGATCAGGGTTATTGCTGAGACTGAACTCAAGGATGTCTCCTTCTCTCTACCCAAGACCTCCAAACCATTCATCATAGCTTGGAATACTGTGGATTCTAAATACAGTACTTAGGGGTTTTTTTCTTTAGTTCATTTAGAATAAATCCCGTTATGTGTAAGGATTTGAGGACCCCTTCAAATAACTTTGAGAACTTGTAGGGAAGTGTAACCTGCAGGATGGGAACTACTAGGTTAATCCGCTTGGTGGACACAAGGATGGAATTTTTCAAAAGAAAACTCTTGCTGAGATCTGACTTAGTGGTAGAGTGCTTTCCTGGCATGCCCTGGGTTTGAGATCTAGCACGGCAAAAAAAAAAAAAAAAAAGAAAGAAAGAAAAAACAGCTGTGGCCTGGTTGGAGGATGGGCAGGAGTGAATTTCCTCTGGCTAAGTTCCTGTCAATGATTGTCAGCTAATGAATGGCTCTCAGATTGTCACACTTTCTACGCCTGAAAACAGCTTCTCTTCAAGGTTCACAGCATCTGATTCTACCACTTTCCGTCTTGCCTTTTGGCTGTCAGCATCCCTCAGGCCTGAGTCCCCCCATATTCCTGTACTTTACACACACTCCTGTATCTTCACACCATCCTCCTATTGCAGAACTCCCTCACGTTCATAAAGAGTTGCACTTGAGCCTGGTGAGGTGGTACACACCTGTAATCCCAGCAGCTCTGGAGGCTGAGGCTGGAGGATCGAGAATTCAAAGCTCGCCTTAGCAACCTCAGAGCGCTGAGCAACTTAGTGAGACTCTGTCTCTAAATAAAATACAAACTAGGGCTGGGAATGTGTCTCAGTGAGCCTCTGAGTTCAATCCCCAGTATAAAAATGTAGGGAGGGCCTGGGGATGTGATTCAGTGGTAAAACACCCCTGGGTTCAACTCCCAGTATCAAAAAAAAATTTTTAAAGAGCTTCACCTGACTTTTCATCTTCCTATTAGTGGACTTAATGCCCACAAAAACGACATTTTTAACATTAATATAGCATAGATTTAAGTGAAGAGTTTGATGACCCTTGACAAATATATATGCCCATGTAAACCACGTTGCAGTTCCCAAAAGCCCAGCAAATCCCCCATTCCCCTTTCTGGTCAATCCATATCCCCTCCCAGAAGCAACCATTGATTTATCCTTAACTTCACAGTTGCTTCACTTCCTCTACTCTAACCATCAGCTTGACTCTATATGACTTATATCTTATAGCTTGTCACCAGGGAAGCCCCCAAATTCCTGTACCTTACACACACTCCTGTACCTTTACACCATCCTCCTGTTGCAGAACTTTTGTATTGTTTCTCCCATTTTCATTCAACAAATTTGGAGCAAATGCAATGGGTTCACAGAAAGTTTCTCTTTTACATCAGGTGATTCATGTGCCAATATCATAATAGGATTTCAGAATAGCGCATCTCACACAATAGTGTGAAAACCCAACCATCATATTTATGAATCATAAAAGGATCCATCGCCACAGTTTTTTTTTAAAGAGAGAGTGAGAGAGAGAGAGGGGGACAGAGAGAGAGAGAGAATTTTAACATTTATTTATTTTTTCTTAGTTCTCGGCGGACACAACATCTTTGTTGGTATGTGGTGCTAAGGATCGAACCACGCTAGGCGAGCGCGGTACCGCTTGAGCCACATCCCCAGCCCCATAGCCACAGTTTTAATTGC